TCACAACCACTGTTACTGCCCTGGCCTGTTGTGGAATCTACAAATCCATAAATAATGTATTACGTCGACCTTTTAGGTATGGCTCGCCATCCTGTATATATAAATACCCTTAACACTTATTATTACGCCTGCATAACCTAGCCTTTTCTTATTTAAACGCAGTCATTAACTTACACACTGACACACACACACGAAATGCACATAGCCTTCTATTCCAATTTTTCTTCCCTCGTCCTTCAGTTTAGCATTCACCCCGTGTGAAGTTTATAATCAGTATGAACAGAATTTAATTGAATTTTAGATTTTCCCGTCGATTTATTGGACCGAAGTGCTCGATCTCAGGTTGACATGTTGGCTTCTTGTGCAGATGCTTCGACGATGTCTGGGCATTTAATTAGTATTTAATTGGTGCATGGTGACTAGCAGTGGAATTAAGGATGCGCATTTCGTCCTATTTAGGACTCGTCATATGGATGTACCTGCATTCCGCAGTTAGTGATGATGTTCCCACCGAGGCTCGAACCCAGTGCCCATAGTTTCAAACGCCAAAGCGTTATCCACTAGACCACTTGGGTGGGAACATCATCACTCACTGCGGAATGCAGGTACATCCAGATGACGAGTCTCAAATTGGACGAAATGTGCATCTTGGATTCCACTGCTAGTCACCATTCACCAATTAACCTGTGAATAGAATTTAATATGAAGATGACTTTACACAAAGCAATAAGAAGACGTAATTTGTCTGAAACGTGTAATGGGTATTTGCGCAACACATTTCCAACAACCTGTTCACACACATGGACTTGTCATAGGAATATATATATATATATATATATATGTATATATATGAAATTAATAAAGAGCTAAGAGGTGAGAAAATAAATCTAGATCAAGTTAAATAGACATATTGAAGGTCAAAATAACAATGAAGATCACTAAACCATATGACAGAGGTAATAGTACATCTGCTATGGTATCAAAACAAAGTTTACCAACGAATGAGAATCCATCACTATATATTCGTTGTTGTTCAAAATCATTTGCTTTGGAATATTGGTGTTCCATTTTTGTGTTACAATTAAACATATTACCACATGTACATGTTTTGGGCTATAATCTATTAAAACAATCTATTTGCAAATAACTTCCAGAATTCTGATGTCACTTATTCGATGTAACCTTCACAAAACAATATTGTTGTCAGTAGCAATAATTCTTTCATTATTATGGATATATAACTGTAAAATCTGATGAAGAAGTTATTGGAAAGAATATTTTTTGTCCAGTAATCAGTCTTTTAAAGAAATGCTATTCTTTTTTATACTCAAGATATTTTGAGTGAATTTCAAGTAAAGGTTTTTTTTGTAGGGATTTTTGTTTGATTGGTTAGGAGATTTCATAATGAGCTGACATCACTTAGAGAACAATTGGGAAAACTGGGATTACTGGACAGCTGTTCCGTCAGTCTAGTTAGGGACTCTTCATCAGTACGCGCCCACTGGGGTTCGAACCCAGGACTTCTGGTTACAAGGCGGGCTCGTTGACCATTAAGCTACTGGTAACACTCATCCAAGAAGACATTGCAAAGTGGTCACGCTATGTTATGAATTGGCATGTTTCATGGACTGGCCATTGGATCAGATCCCAATCGCTTAATGGTTTACGAGCTCACCTTGTGACCAGAAGGTCCTGGGTTCGAATCCCAGTGGGCGCGTACTGATGAAGAGTCCCAAACGAGGACGAAACACCTGTCCAGTACTCCCTGCAGGTTTTCCAATGGTTCTCTAACTGATGTTAGCTCATGAAGAAGTCCTCCAAGCAACCAAACAAATTCCCTACAAACCCAAAACTTGACCTGATGCTCACTAGCAACTAGCGCTATTCAGGCAGTTACATGGGCATGAAATATGTTAAATAATGCTATTCAGTTCTGAGCGTAGTTTTGTAAGCACCAGCTCATAAACGAATAACGATTTTATTGGATACTAGTTAGTAACTAGTGTATTGCGTCTAGTCCTTTCTTTGTCGCATACTGAGTTCTATCAGTCAAGTTTTCAATGTGACCACTATGCTACTAGGTGGCTTGACATGACGGTGCACTTTGAATTGTTGATAATAGATGATTGGCGACAGTCACCAGGAAGTCTTGGACCTAGGTCCAATCAAGGTATCCAATACAATCTTACAGGTCAGTCGCGGGCTCGATTAGCTCAGTGGTAACATCTGACTGCAGCACTGGGTTTAAATCTCATGACGGACATGAGTTCCTTCCAGACTGCAGATATGCCTTGCTGACGAGTGCCAACTAGCACGGAACCTAGGTCAGGCAAGACATCCTGCCAACTGCCTCCAAAGATCTAATACTCGAGACATGCCTAGTAATGATGTAATCGGACAAAACCACTTATGTACAGTTTTTCTTTCTCTCCTAACTTTAAGCTAAATTGATAAATATTTCAGCTAGTGTCTAACAGATTCCAACCATCCTTCAAGTAATAAAACCTGGCAGAAAGTTGGCGAATCAGTTATTCAAACTATACGTGTGATTAATTACCAACCAACTCTTATTCAAGTTTCTTGATATGCCATCTTAAGTTCTGAAATGCACGGGTAAATATTAAATACCTCAGGAAGTCAATGCACTTTCTTATTTCTACTCAAAAAGAATAACTCTAAACTAAAATTACTTATTAAATTAGATTTTTGATTCCGGTTAAAGAACAAAGTAATATGCTTATTCCTCTGAGACAACATGGTAGATGAATGTAGAAGATATACTGGGGTTGGCTATCCAACCTCAACCTCGTCCAACAGCCAGCTTTATGACAGTGCCACGTGTCAGGTGACTCACAAAGGAAAATTCAGAGAAGCGTCTCAAGTGAATACAGGAGTACGACAAGACCGCCTATTATCATCAATGATATTCCTAATTGTCGTTCACTGGATTATGCGTCAGACTGTGCGAGGGGACGGGGAAGACAAGAATACATTGGAATAACCGATAAGAAGACTTTAGAAGATATAGACTTCGCGGGCAATTTATGCCTAATGTCACATAAACTCGAAGACTTACAGGCGAAAAACCAAAAGTTGGCAGAAGGGGCTGGAAGCAAAGACAGAGATTCAAGTGAACATAGGGAAGGCTGAGGTGACGAAGATACCCAATGACTAACAACAAGCGCCAATCACTGTCAACGGGAGTAATTTGAAAGAAGCAGTAACGTTCCAACTACAGGCACACATCACTGATAAATATGTCAAAAACAGATTAGGTAATGCAAAATAAACCTCCCTCACTCTGAAATTAGTTTTGAAATCTGCCCTCAGCACTAAGAACAAAATTCAGATTTTCAACACCGATGTTAAGCTAGTCAGTTTTTCTATGTGAGTCAGCAACTTGCACTGTGCGTCACGAAAAGAATTTACCAACAGCTGCCTTCGCCGTGTCCATAATGAAGATCGTATGTCTGGCAGGATAGAATTAGCAACAAGAAATTCTAGGAACCAGGCAACCAAGAACCTGTTGCTCGAAAAATATTCCGAAGAAGTTGGAGATGGATTGGGAACACCCTGAAGAGATTTCATCGGATATCATCGTGCACCAAATCATCACTCTAGTGAAAACCGAAGGGGAAACATGGAATAAGGCGTCCAAGGATGACATGGAGGAGATCTTGTGAAGGGGAGGTGGCAGCTCGCAGTCAATAGCTGAGTCAACTAAAGAGGGCTGCAGAGAACATAGTGAAATGGAGATATTCTGTTGAGGCCATATGTTCTACAAGGAGCGCAAGGGAATAATAATAATAATAATAGTCATCTTTGACCATAGGTGTTTGCGCTCTGTCTCTCGTATTAACTGATATAATATAAGTAGTATTAAAGTTGAACTTAGAGTGCTAGGCAAGGAGAGGAAGTCATTCGATGTGGTTGTGTAGCTAAATCGATTGAAATAGATATGACATATGTTACGCATGTCAAGTCACTACCTTCCTCATTGAGCAATATTAACTGACATAGGGTCAGGTTGGAAAAGAGTTAGAGGTGGTCAGTTGAAAACCTAGAATCAGTTCAGGAAGCCTGTGATTGTTGCTTTGAACCAGCTATGTAGGGAGGCATAGATTGCATGGCTGGATTGTGTCTTCAAGACGCTAAGAACGAACTGCTTTAGACTGTTAGTGATATACCTCAAAATCGTTCTCAGTGACACATATGCACACAGTCTTTGTAATCTCCCAGACTCATCAGTTCCTCATGAATCTTCACATACTTATTCTTCCTCCAGTACATATCTGTTCATTATAATTCCAGTGAATTTTTTCTGCACTTTTTTGTGGTACAAGGGAAATAGCAACTTAAATAGTTGTAATTTTGATCTGAGTTCTTTGTTGAAACTTAGTCAGTCATGAGAAAGGAACCTATACACAAGATGTTACTCACTCCCTCTTTCAACAGCTGACGGAATTTGTTTTTGTTTTTCCAAAGGGCTTCAAACTCTTCGAATTTCAGTAGGATTGCTACTGTTGTTCTTTTTTAGGGGTGGGGTTAATTAGCCTAACGACGCTCAATCCTCCATCTTTTCCAGGTTAACTATTGGCTAGCTATAGGATTTCAAGCAGACAACATTAATCTCAAGATTAAGATGTATACCTTGATATCTATATATACGTGCGTTGGTGGCACAGTGGTAGAATGTTCGCCAACCACGCACGTGGTCCGGGGTTTGATCTCCGGTCACCGACGCACTCTTTTACCTCGCTAAGCCCGAGATAAGATTGGTAAAGAGGGAAGGTCGGGTATGAGGCTAGCAACACCATCCCGTAAAACTAAATAAACAACACTGCCACCGAAACTTCAATGCTCTAGCTTGAAGCTCTATATTCCACTGGAAACGTGAAGGAATAAAATTGTTTAGATAATATATATACAACACTTGATCTAACTTGTGATACATGCATAGATTTAACACTACTTTTCCTTCTCTCTGTTTTATCTTCCAGTATAAACCATCTTTACCAAGATTTTCAACTGATTCTGACAGTATGAGTAGACCAGGCACTGAATCATCAATTATCTATCGAGACAATTAATTAATTAATTAATTGACTAACAATCAGGAGAATCCGTCGACAATAGAAAGATTCCTTCTGTAATGTTTACTAATATATAAGTTACGTCCATTTATTCTACACAATTTTAAAAAATATTCTGTTCCCTGTTTGTTCTTTTAAATGTTTTACAAAAGAAAATAATGCAAATGTGTCTGTAAGTCTACTTCCCCTTTCCGCGTCCCTCTTCTTCCTGCCCCCCCCCCGGCCTACATCAATTCTTCCGAGTATATATATAGATACATACACACACACACGTGAATAGTACTTCTGTGAATGAAACCAACCTATCTTACACCATGGTCTTCGACATTTACCTCAAGACAAATAAAGGATCTATAGAAATTATCTCAGGTAACCAAGCAATTAATTAATTAATTAACTGACTAACTAACTAACTAACTAACAATAATTCATTTACTTATCTATTTGTTTATTATAATTAATTATTGGTATATATACATATATATGCATGCTTGCGGCTAACTTAGACATGTTACATACAATGCACAAATTAATACTGTTAATAAAGTAAAAATAAAAGTTGTTTTACACTTTTTTTTGAAAAAAAATCAGATTTCATAAAATTAACAATAATTATTTCCAAGCTTGATCTGGTTTCGGAGAGACTCTTGAGTAGTTTGTGCACTCATGCCCCCCTCCCACCGCCGTGCTAGGACTCGAACCCACAACCTTCAGGTAATGAGGTAAGCCTGACCAGCTATTCAGCCATTTAAACGGAATCCAAAAGCCAACGCATGAATTTCAACTTCTACTACTAATTCGTGATATATACAGACCAACTACTAATCAATCTTATCAGCGAGAAATTCTCTTCACGGTCAACTTCTGGTGAATTCTATTGGTCACGAGGTTTCAGTAGGACTTCAGGCAGTTTCATTCTGTGGTCGTCAGTCGTTAATGAGTATCAGAACAATTTTCACGAGTTAGTCTGTCGAGATTTAAACTTTTTCAAGTTTGATCATAGGTTGATATCAGTCAGAAGACCACGGGAAAAAATCCAGGGAGTACCGGACAGTTGTTTCTTCACCAATACAATCACCCACAACCTCATCAGGAGTCCAGCCAGACTGAAGCAACAGTGACGCAAACAAATGAATTTGAACAATCAACGCGTTACTTGGATACAAAACAATTAAGTAAGACGAGATAAGTATGTACGATGGCAATCTCTCATGTGAAATAGAAGTGTCTTGCGGTTTGTCATGGAGGTTCTTAGAGTTATTCCAATCATCGAAATGACTGTATATCACTGTATTTCATGAGCAATATATCACTGGAATACTGTTTTACAAATACTCCCTTAATCGTTTTGTGAAAGTGACATACATCCCACATAATAGACCAACAAGCTGGGATAGCTCAGCAGTAACGTCTCTGATTTTAGCACCGAGTGACCTGGACTCGTAGTCGAGAAGATACATGACCAGAGTTCAAATTGAACAAGGCACATGAGATCCTTCAAGACTGCAGTGCCAACAAGCACGAAACCTAGGTCCATGACTTCCTGTTGATTGCCTCCAGTCATCTAAAAATGCTTTAGTGTTGTGAGTATTTCTGAACAGCCATTCAAGGCGATTTGGTTCGTCGTTCACTTGAGGCACTGCAGTCGTGCCAGTGATGGAACCCAGAAACTATTTTACCGTGAACTTCTTTTCACATTAAAGAGGCTTTCAAGAGTCTGTTTGTAGGGATTTGTTTTAACTTTGATTGCCGATTGATATCAGTTAGAGAACCATTGAAAACTAGTAGTGAGTACTGGACACCTGTTTCATCATAGTTTTGGCCTCATCGGCAGTACGCACCCACCTGGGTTCGAACTCAGGACCTACCAGTTACAAGGCGAGCTCGCAGACTATTCAGCCAATGAGACCCGATCCAATGGCCCATGAATTCTAACTTCTACCAGTTCGGGATTTTAGCGTGACCATCAGCCATTGTCATTGGCGACTATTTGTCTCTACTACCAACCGGTTTAAAGAAAACAAAGTGTACAGACAGAAAGTTTCAGATATGTAGTTATGAGAGAAGTGTCTTTATTGGTCATTCTGACGACGATGCTAATTGTAGTTGCCCAGTTAGCTGTACATTGTCCACGTAACACATTTTCCCACTAAACTATGCATTTGAAAAAAAATACTTTTGGGATATTTATTTAGACTGCGTTACAGTTCTTGTAAGTCTGTAGCCATAAAATGTTGCTCGATATGCGCACATCTAAGCTGTATGATTGATTAAGATAGGCAATCAGTCGAAACATTAAATATCATGAATTGAATTCTCATGATTTCTTGTTAGTAATATGTGGCTCATTTCACTGGACTAGACTGGAGATTTTATTATCTTTACCCGTGTTCTACTGGCGACTAAATCAAACTTCGTTATGTAATATATTATTGCTTCGATGATGACTGAAGATTAACATGATGTTATTTTGGTTAATAGTGACTAGCATTGGAGTCCAGAGTACGCATTTCGTCCTATTCGGGAACTCGTCATCTGGATGAACCTGCATCCCCAATGAGTGGTGATATTCCGGCTGAGACTCAAACCCTGCACCCATCATCTCAAGCGCCAAAACATTATACACTGGAAAGGCAAATCAGCCTACACAATAATAGCTGATACTTCTGGCACAACAGATAGCTCTAGTGGATAACGATTGGTAGTTTGAAACGATGGGTGCAGGGTTCAAGTCTCAGTGGAAAAACCATCATTCGATGAGGTGTCAAGGCACATCCAGATGACGAGTCCTAAATAGGACGAAATTCGAATCTTCGACTCTACTGCTTATCACCGTCAACTAAAAAAAACAGCAGAATAAAACTGAACTGAATACACTGTTGTGATGACCAAAAGTAGTTTCCTACAAATTTAGTGTTGAAAATACTGCCTAGTCAATTATATAAGCAAAAACAATGAGCACCTCGGTGAGGCGACAGTTAATATTGAAACAAGAAAAATCGATCAAATGTCGACATTAATACTCAAACAAATGATAAAATAATACACTTATTTGGTTACAGGATTTCATCATGAGCTGACATTGGTTAGAGAACCATTGGAAAACTTGCAAGGAGTACTGGAGAGCTGTTTCGTCCTAGTTTGGGACTCTTCATCAGTACGCAGTCGCCACCAGGGTTCGAACGCAGGACCTTCTGGTTACAAGGCGTGCTGGCAGACCATTTCTCCTTTCATTTTACACCAAGTACTTGCGGATTTTCTTTTGAACAAAATCTCTACGATGATTAAGAAATAAGCTTCATCCATAACTGATATACCCTTATAGCGTATTAAGACTTACTGTTCATGCATAACAAACAAACCTCTCCCAAGTATTTTAAACAGAGAGACAGACAAAGATCAATACCAATTAAAATACATTCTTTCCTTGATTGTGGTTGACTGAGTCATACGATAGACAGTAAGGAGTGGGAAGACAAGCATACGGCAAACCGAAGAAAAGATCTCAGAAGATCTGGATTTCGTAGATGCCTAATGTCGAACAAACTCGAAGGTATACAGTAGAAGAACGACAAGCTGACAGAAGAAGCAGCGAAGACAGTACTTCAAGTGAACATAGACAACACAGATGGGATGAGAATATCCAAATCACGGAAACAACAACAAACACCAATCACCAACAATGAGAGAAATCTAAGGGGAATCACTCCTTTCACTCACCTGGCCAACATCAATTCAACTATAAGCGGTGCATATGTGAGTATCAAAGCCAGGATCGAGAAATTCACACAGGCATCCACATTACTCTAAAATTAGGCCAAGGAATAATAAGATCAGATCCAGATTTCCAAGAGTAATTTCAAACCAACTCTTTTACACGACTCACAGACTTGATGCGTCACGAGAAGCATTTCAAACAGGCTACCGACATTTTTCATGAACAGCTGTCTTCATTTACTAGACAATAAAGATCAGATAGCCCACCAGAAGTGATAAACAACAAGAAACTCTGCCAATGAACCAATCAAGAACTTATTGCCCAACGAACACTCAGAAGGAAATGGAGATAAATCCAGATCCTTGAGTAGGACGTGTACAGGCGGACGAACAAATTAGCCATCCGAAAGTGACATGAATAAAAAACAATCATATGAAGAGAAAATAAATCCATGTAGGCAGTTGTCCAGTCACTTTCAAGTAACTGCAGAGAACTGAGTCAAATGAAGGTGTACCACTGAAGTTCTATGTCCTGTGTGAAATGCAAAGAATGACTAATAGTAGCAGTAGTAATAATAATAATAATAATAGTAATAATCAACTTTATTTGTCAGTTGAACTAATAGCAACTGTAAGTCAATGGTGTCTCAATGATATTACCATTTAAATGAGCGGGGAGGGAGGGGGCGGGGCGAAGAACTTCTCACTTAATTTATATAGATAAACAATCTACACTGTTACAAGCCTGAATATAATAAATAAATAAATAAAGATTAATCATTATTTCCTCTTTAAAATATACAACAGATTATGTATTTCTTTTATTACTGGTGCACAAGTAGGAGATGATAGTGTAATTAGAAAAAGAGAGAAAATAACAATAATAATAATAAGAGATTGTGAATTACTGAAATGTTTTTACACTAGAAGAAGAATGATATGAGTGAATATTAATGAAAATGTTCTTTGTTTTTCGAATGCACATGCTTGTGATGCTCTCGAAACGAGAAAAAAAAGAAAAGAATGAAGACCAAAGAATCTTTTAGCATTGCGAGCATCAAATTTTAAAATACATGAGGTTTGAGAACAACAACAAAGATGAAATAACAAAGATGATATCGAAATGACGAAACAAGATGATTATGGAGAAATATAATTTCCTTTCACAAAAATGATTATTTTTGAAGAGTTCTCTTCTCTCTGAATTGTGTTCTAGGGGAAGTGAATAAAATGTCCTGGCGTATTCTATCTGAGAAGTGATAGCAATGACAATAATAATAATCTGACTAAATGTTTAATATTCAGGTTATGGACGTGAAATATTCAGAAGCGAAAAGTTGCCAATAGTAGTGTTATTTAATCTTCTGAAGTTGACTGTTCTCCTCTTTGTCTTCATTATGTTGAGAAGCGTTGGCGCTCTGAAATAGGGATTTTTTAACGAAAACAACTGTAAATTTCATCTTAGAATGTGACAGACAATGTTGTTTTATTCACTATTATGTGTCAGACTGTTATCATGCCTATGGGTTCCACCAAGTGGAACATGGGACTTCAAAGAGCACATCGACATCTCATCCTGCTATCTGCTGTCCTGTTCATCTGGCTCCGAAATCGCCCGTAGTCTCTGACCTCCTCCACGTAACCCTCGAGCAAATATCTAACTCGTCATTACCCTTTCGGGTTCCACCCAAGAGCCTAGCGTACAATGACATACAACGGTCTACTCAGCGTATGTCTTATCCATCACCATTTTCTTCGTCATATTTCTTGAGCAATAGGTTCTTGATTGGTTCGTGCACAGATCGTCCAACTATCTGATTGATCCTAGGTGTGGAGCCAAGGAAGGCATCTGTCGATAAAGGTCTGCGGTAGGCTGTTGAAAATGCTTTCCGCGACGCACAGTGCAAGTTTCTGACCCACATAGAAGAAGTGACTGGCTTAACATCGGTGTTGAAAATCCGAATCTTGTTCTTGGTGCTGCTAAGTGCAGATTTCAAAACTTAATTTATAGTGATGAAGGTTTTGATATACATATGCGTTCCACCTGTAGTTGAAACGAAGCTGACCAAATAAGTGAAGGGAGTGACCTCTCTTGAATTTCTCGCAATGATAATGATTGGGGTGCTTTTTGTTGTTGGTCACTGGCTATCTCCATTACCTCCACCTTCCCTATCTGTTCACTTGAATTTCTGTCTTTGCCGCCACAGCCTCTTCTGCCAGATTTTGGATTTTCACCTGTAAGTCTTCGAGTTTATGTGACATCATTAGACTATATACTATCCGCAAAGTTTGGGTCTTCCAGAGTTTTCTTATCGGTTCAATGTATTGCTGTATTCTCGCTCCCTGTGCACAGTCTGTTGCATAATCCAGTGCGTAATAAAAGACGAAGAATACTGGAAGAATGATAACTTTTCGCTCACATTTTAAAATCTACTGATACACCGCCAGGTTAAGACAAAAGTTCCGCTAATTTTACAAACATTACTTAATGCTAAATGTGGTCTAATGTCTAATTAGTTCTCCAGTTTCACTTCTCCATCTTTATTCATTTCAGTTCCGAATAGAACATACGGCTGCTTTTTATTACAGCTTGATTCCGCACCCTATTTCTTGGTACAGGTATGGAATTTTCAGCATGTGATATCGGTAGCTCAGATTTTGCAGGCCGACCATAGATATCAGGTGTGCGTCGGCAGGGGGTCGAACCCCGGACCATGTGCATGGTCGGCGAGAGTCCTAACCACTGTGCCACTGAGCTCTGACGTTTCGGTAGCCGTAGTGTTTTGTTTGTATGGAATGAGGGTTGCTAGCCTCTAGACCAACATTTCCTTTTTACCGGGCTTATTACAAGCTTAATAAACTGGGTGAGATTAAGGACCTCTCACGTGGCTGGCGAGCATCCTACCAGTGAACCATTGATGAACAAACCACATCCGCCGACCATGAGACGAACGCGGATCATATGCTTGCAAAGAGGCAGTCAGTATAACTGTGCGTCGGTGGCACAGCGGGTAGGACGCTCGCCGATCATGCACATGGTCCGAGGTTCGATCCCCCGCCGACGCACACCTGATATCTATGGTCGGCCTGCTAAATTTGGGCTACCGATATCACACGCTGAAAATTTCATACTTGTACCAAAATTCTGTGTGGAATCAAGCTATAATAAAATAAAAATTAAAAAAGTAATTAAAAGACGATAAAGATATACGATTTTGAACGATGTAATTTTGTACACACACATACACAATATTAATCAGTATGCCTTAGGAAATATTTACCAAAGTATATAAACAAATACATACGAGGAACACAACTATCTAGAACCAAACTAAAGCACCTTTATGCACAATAATTCCACAGAAAGAAATAACAACATAAAAGTACAACAGAATCAATTCATTCTACACACAAACCTACCATTCGAGCATTGAAAAAGCATAAATAAGTATTCCAGATACTGGTAAAAAATGCCACATACAGGACACGATAAGCAGTGGGTACAAAAGCGAAATTGATACTTTGTAAAAGCGGCCAAAAAGCTAGATCTGATAGATAACCAGGAATAAATGAATGATAGCACCGATCCATAGCACCAGCCACTGTAAATGTATCACAGAAGCCGTTATCTAATTACGACAAGAATAAAAAGAAAGAAAAAAAAGAAGAAATAAGTGTGTATATGACAATTAATTTCTGATTTTTTTTTTGTGTTTTAAAAATGTAGAACAACACATTCAAGCGAACAATTAGATCTCATCAGGCTTAACTCTAATAAATATAAGTTTACAAATAAAAATTCAAATATAAACCAATCATGGTGTTTTGTCTATAGGATAATAAGATGGTGAATATAAATTGTGCAATTAGTCATAATAGTAGTAATGATAATAATAATAATAATAATAGTAATAATAAAAATGGTCTTATCAATAATAAGGATGAAAAAGTTAGACAATCTGTGATAACACGAATAATGAAAAAACAGCATGACTAAACAAACAACTGTTCAGATGGAAGTAGTCGATAAAGGCTAGTAAAAACAAATGAACCGATTAAGTAATGTTAGATTGTAAGGGAAGGAAATGAAGCACGTTTATAATGAAGATAAGATTAAGGGATGATAAGAGAGGGGTTGAAAATATAAACAAAGGGCGTGTAGAAGTCATTCGTTGGTTATGTCCTAATAGGCCAAGGGAGGGATAATGGCTGTACAAACTATTTTTGAATACATAGTTTAGGTTTAATAGTTCGAATGCCTATCGCCTCAGCTTTGTGCAGTAAACGAAAACGAAATCGATCGGAAAGATTCGGTGGGATACGATGAATTACTTTGAAGGCTCAATTTATATTCACCATCGTATTATCCTATAGACAAAACACCATGATTGGTTTATATTTGAATTTTTATTTGTAAACTTATATATATTACAGTTAAGCCTAATGAGATCTAATTGAAAACAATATTGTTCGCTTAAATGTGTTGTTCTAAATTTTACTATGGGAATATTTAATATATTTTAAAAATGTGAAAAGAAATAATCAGGCGACTATAAGCAGTAAGACTAATAATTTACAAACTTCAGACATTGGATTTCACCAGTGATGACTACAAAGTGATTTTTTTTTCTTCAGTTGTATAATCAAAATGTCGACTTAACGGTTGTAAGATGTATCACAGCATCAATATGGATAACTTTCCTTTGCGTTTCGAATGGAACATGAGGGTTCAAAGTTTGAAATCACAGTAGCGGTGGTATTGTCTTCTTACGAGATCACGTTGCTAACTTCACGCCTAAGCTGCTGTCTTTACCAAGCTTACTACAGCGTCTAAGCGAACTTTAAGAGTGCGTCAGCTGGAAATTGAACCGTGACCAAGTGCGTGGTTAGCGAGCATTTTACTACTGAACCATTGACGTACAAATATACCTAACAACAGCGTAAGCAAATTACCTGTAAATACTCCGACATTTAAACATGCATTGAAATGCATTACACCTATACATAGGAGACTGGAAAACTGATTACATTATAAAAGTAACTGCCATAACCTTTAGCTTACCCTAACTTCACGTCAAATGAAATACTGATTAAACAAACAACATTATAGTCTGTAAATAACAGTGTTTGTGATTTTTTTCAAGTATTGGTTTTTGTAAGGATTCAGTTTGATTGGCTGGAGGATTTCATCATGAGCTGACACATCAGTTAGAGAACCATTGGAAAACTTGCAGGGAGTACTGGACAGCAGTTTCGTCCTAGTTTGCGACTCTTCATCAGTATGCGCTAACATGAATTGGCAAAAGTTAGAATTCATGGGCTGGCCATTGGATCGGGTCCCAGGGACTTAGTGGTCTACAAGCCCGTATTGTAACCAGAAGGCCCTGAGTTCGAATCCCGATGGGTGTGTACTGATGAAGAGTCCCGAAGTAGGCTGACGAAACAGCTGTCCAGTACTCCCTGCAAGTTTCCCAATGGTTCTTTAACTGATGTCAGCTCATGATGAAATCCTCCAATCAATCGAGGTGTTTGTGATTGTTTAACTATACATTTCTGCGTTCAAAAGATTATTATAGCTATTATATTATAGCTATCGCCACAAAAGTTATTGAATTCATAATGAGTAACTTTACATTTAAAAAGTACAAATGTGAAATTTTACACTTTTTTGCAAAGCTCCATATTAATATTAATAATTTCATCCGTAATAATATTTGCAATATAAATTTTAATGATTTACCGATTGAGTCTGATACAGAACTCTGCACAAGAGTGCACCAGTCCAAATTAACACACTCCATATAATAGAACACAAAGGTAGAAGAGAAGTTTTTAAAAAATTTCAAAGGAACTTTAACGAACGGAAGTGTAAAGGGGAAAGAGTAAGTATATGGAGAATTGTAATGAACTGGTAAATCCGGGAGATTACAAAGAATGAATTGAATCTGAGCCACTGAGAACGATTTCACAGTATACCATCAGCATTTCAAACAAAGTCTAATCAAGATTTAACCAAACAATTTCACAATAATTGAGAACTGAGTGAAAAGTAGGCATATGTAAAAATATTTATAGAGATAAAGTCTTTTACATATCACCAATAGTCTTAAGCAAATGGTTGTTAGCGCCTCGAGGACTCTAACTAGGCAACCCCATACCTCTTCAGCGACTCAGGGATTGACTTGCTACCAGGGAATAATCTCGTCGACTTAGAATATGCAGACGATATAGTCCTTCTAGGCGAGGACGCTGACAAAATGCAGAGTCTACTGAACACCTTGAGCAACAATCTTCGTATGTTTGGCATGCGATTCGCCCCCATAAAATGTAAGATGATGCTGCAGGATTGGACTACACCGACCCCTAGATTAGAAATAGGAAGTGAAGTGGTAGATCACGTTGACTGCTTCACTTACTTGGGAAGTACCATCAGCCCCAACGGGTTGATCTCCAACGAAATTTCAGCACGAATACAGAGGGCTAGGTTCGCATACGCCAATTTTCGCCGTCTCTGGCGTAGACGCGATATCCGACTATCGACCAAAGGGCGTGTGTACTGCTCATTAGTCCGCTCCGTCCTCCTTTATGGCTGTGAGACCTGGCCATTGAGAGTGGAAGACATGAAAAGATTAACTGTGTTCGATCATAGGTGTCTGCGTTCTATCTCCCGTGTGAAGTAGTATAATAAGGTGAGCAATATTGAGGTTAGGCGTCGAGTGCTAGGTAAAGAGGGGAAATCAGTCGACGAGGCTGTGAAATTACATCGACTGAGATGGTTAGGACATGTACTACGTATGCCTAGTCATCGCCTTCCTCGACGAGCAATGTTAGCTGATATAGGGCCAGGCTGGAAAAGAGCTAGCGGCGGTCAAACGAAAACATGGCACCAGTCAGTGAAATCTACAACAGTTAGCTTAAGCCACGTAGGAAGGTGTAGACTTCCTGGTTGGGGTCCTCGGGACGGTAAAAACCAATGGTTGGAAACAATTGGTGAAATGGCTCAAAATCGTTCTCAATGGCTGGCGCAGATGCATCCACTCCTTGTGACTTATGATTTCTAATGAAACTGTTTTGTTCTCCGTTATTACTATTTTTTGTCTCACACCTCTGTTTACTATCTATATTATGCATTTCTTCTACTTTCTTCTCTTGCTTTGTGTGCTACATGGAGTGTGGCGACTTGAACTGCCGCACATATGTGCAAGGTTCTACGTCGAAAACCGACCGACCGAATTCCATACCTACCTGAGATTTTTTCAAGACCAACAGTCACAGAATTCAAGAATTGACTTGATCACCTCTGACTTTTTTTTGCATCCTAATCCTACGTCAACTAACATTGTTCAACGAGGAGACCGATAACTTGACACACGCGTAACACATGTCCTAATAATTCAATATATTAAAGTTACAAACATAGAAAGAGAAGCGAAAAACGTAACATACATCAGGTGATCCAAAAAGTTTCAATGGGGTCAAATACCATCTACTTTTGCATACATTACTTATTTTTCAAACTAGTTATATGTATCATGAAGACAGTATATAACTAACTGACTAACTAACAGCATGTGTGCGTCAGTGGCACAGTGCTTAGGACGCTTGCCAACCATGAAAATGGTCCAGGGTTCGATTCCCGGCCGACGCACACCCGATATCAATCGTCAGCCTGCTAAATTTGGGCTACCTATATCACATGCTGAAAATTCCATACTTGTACCAAAATATGCTGTGTGGAATCAAGCTATAATGAATAAAAAAATAAATAAATGTATACTAACCACTCTAATCATACAAAGAAGGTAACAAACTAAAAACTTACACGTAAAAAATATCACCAAGCTTATGGGACCTAAAAATAATTCATCCAATAACACTTTTTTCACTACTACTGACAATGAAGCACCGACAAGCACTTTATCCAACCAGCTGTAGTAAATGTATTGATACAACCCTTGAAATGAACCGATAGCACCTTGTCTAGCTACCAAGAAAAAAGTTTAAAAGAAAATAATTCAAGTGACTAATAAACACATTTATGCACTTTGTACTGTTAGTTCACAATGAGAAAATCACCTAACCCTATAAAATGTTAAACGTGCTATATTCATTTGCATAAAGCAACACGCTTACTAGGAAAAAAATATCAATGAATTCATTCCTATATATGTCCAAATCAAGTTCACTTTTGACAGTTTGGAAAAATTTGGGCCTTGGGTATATGATATTCATTATAATAAAGGTTTTCTTGTATTTCATAATGAATGAAAACAAAACGATATTGCTTTAACTGACATTTCGCTATTTAATGCTGCTGCTAACAGCTTTATCAAAGTGTTATTAAACCAGAATTTACAAAATCTTAGTATATATACAACAAAGAGTTAAGAGGTGAGAAAATAGACTTAGGTCAAGTTTAAAAGGACATATTGAAAGTCAATTTTACACACTGATCAAATCCAACAATCTACACTTGGTTTCGTTATCCTTACCAGTTGACCAGCTTGACAACGAAAAATGACCTCAGACTGAGGATCGATGATCAAGTTAGCAAACTTTGTTTCGATACCATAACAGATGTACTATTACCTTTGTTATTTGGTTTAGTGATCTTCATTGTTATTTTGGCTGCCGAAGAGTCCCAAACTAGGACGAAACAGCTGTCCAGTACTCTCAGGTTTTCCAGTGGTTCCCTAAGTGATGTCAGCTCATGATGAAATCCTCCATGCAATCAAACAAAAATCCCTACAAAAACAATACTTGAAAGACAACATCGTTTTGTTTTTCATTCATTGGGAAATACAAAAACCTTTATTATAATGAATTCATTTCTATTTACAACATAATTATTGGGGAAAATATCTTGAACTTCAATAATAACGTATAGAGCATGCATATTAAAAACACAGTCAAAAGAAATTTAAGTAAAAGAGATGAAAATCCACTCAAAATTCACAGGCTTCTTCTTAACAATGAGGCATGATTTGATTATCTCATAACAAGTTGACTCGACAGTAGGTGCATTTTGGTTCCATTAAATATCTATGACGTATCTTGATGCATAATACATTTCGTTCATGAGTATTCTGTCTGAAAAAATTCGCCGGAAGATGAGTTTGTAGACTCTGTTGTTGTTAATAAGTTACCAAGCCAAATGGTAGGCTAACCAACTACACCGTTTGAAATTGTCATTTTTGATAGCGAAAATAAAAACACTTACGATATTAAACTGCAGTTAAAACATACGATAAATTATTCGCCTTTAGGTACATCGTTTACAGAAGTGAATGTCAGATTATCTTAAAATGATTAGCTAGATATACACATGGACACCCAAAAGTTCCTTGTACACTCACCACATATTTCCAGTTACTGGCATGTAGTAATGTAAAGTGAGAACTCAATAATTTGTTCCCATGTTTGATTCGCATTTTGAGATTTTCTATTATTATGTTAACAACCATGACTGAGTAACTGCATCTACATCAGCAATAGTCTCAGGCCATCGGATCTCAGCATCCCAAGGTCCTCAACCAGACAGCCTACCCCCTTCCGAATGGATCATACTGTCAAATACTTCATAAACTGATGTCAGGTTTTGGTATAACCAACCCTAACTATTCTCCAACCTAATCCTATGTCACTGCTTGTCGAGAAAGGTGGTAGCTCAGTACGCACAACATCAATCGACTGACCTACCCTCCCTAATTAACAATCTACGTCTAACCTCAATATTGCTTAACATATAATACAAATTAACACAAGAGATGGAATGCAAACATCTGTGGTCAAAAACAGTCAGCTTTTTCATTTTTTTCACTCTCAAAGGCTATGTCTCACGGCCATGAAGGAGGATAGAATGAACCGCCACACAATAAATACGTCTTTTCATCAATAGGCGGACTCCAAATCCACGCCAAAGATTACGCAGGCTAGTAAATACCCCACGAGTGTTCTGTATTCGTGTTAAGACTCCATCAGTAATCAATCCATTAGGTTTGACGTAACTTCTTAACAACCATAACTAAGAACATAATCTTGTTTTGATACAGGAGAGAATATACATAGCTCAATAAGTAGGTGTACAACCAACCGATGAACAGTTTAACTAAAACATTGTCTGATTTCATCAAGAAGATTCTGAGCCAATCATTAAGCTTTAACAATAATCTTTTTAACTAATCTACTGAACTTTATGAAAATACTGATTTTGACTTCAACATCTATAAACGCTTCATGACATGTAGCACAATGGCTTATAAAACCCAGGTCAAACTACATGTGCATACAAAGAAGTATGAATATAACGGTTGAAAGAATTAAATTTATTCTGCAATTATATAAGTAGCAATTAATTTATACAGACTACATTAAACAGGGAATATCAAAAAGATGCTTACTATAATGCTGAATTAAATCTCACTATTTCTGAACTAACTCTAACATTCAACAGTGGGTAAATTCTGGTTTTCAAGAAATTGCAGTTTCTTGAAAATCATATATATATATGATTGTGAAGCTTGATAATGAATTCGTTGAAAAGCCTCCTTGTTGTTCTGATAACAAGCAAGCGAACACATCATCTGATGTAATGAGGCAATAAGAAGCGAACCAAAAAGTTATAAATCAAATCCAGCCGGTAGCTTAGAACCAGGCGGATATTGGGATTCTATACCCGGCTGACCAACCACCTAGTCACCAGACGGCGGGAAGCCCGAAAAAAAGATTGGGTGTGAAGTTAGCAGCCCTGCCCCATAAATAAAGAAACAACAACGCTACGGAAACTTCAAAGCTTGCCTCACTCAGAACACAAATGAAAATGAAAAAAAGCGCTTACAACCAAAATCATACTCAAGTTTATTCGGTGAACACAAAAGATATCAAATAATTACACCCGCAAGGCAGACGACAAGCATTAGAGAGTAAAATGTAGACAATTTAGCCGGATGGCGTCTCAGTAATAGACCAACGACTGAGAACAATTAAAAGAACACTTTTTGGTATCACCAGCCTTATAAAGGCAAAAAATGCTCAAACTCAGAGTAATCTAACACTCTAACAGACAGTGATGTTCATATCTTCATATAATAAAAAACACCCCTGGGCATTTGAGTTATAAACAGATGATCCCTGACTGATGTTTTTTACATCACATCCACAATTCGATCAGATGTATCTGACTAGCTGCGTTCTTAAAAATCTACAGTGTTAGATCCCCATCCCATTTTAAATTCCTTGCAATATCCAGAAAGTCAGTTTCAACCTGTTGTTGTAAAAGGATCTGTTCAAATATCTTCTGTACATACATCCAAATATATGTAAGTATACTAGTGACATTCATTTCTACCCTAGACAGGAGGAAACAGATGAATTAGTTTAAATCTTGTTTCTCTTCTAGGCACTTCATATAAATTAAACAATGTCTGCAAGACAATTCTATGGTTACTGATTGCGTATTCAGTCATTAAGTGTCACAAACGGAAGGTAGGAGGCAAACTTCTCACAGTATCCACAGATCACGGCAACTTGTCGTCGGTGTTAGAAATAAAAAGGCACAGGCAATGAAACTGAAGATGTTTTATTACGTACATCTATTTACAACAAGCTTAATGTCAACGACTACATTTGACTATACTACAGATGCACTGACGGGTGACTTCGATTTCTGATAGATTGGTTTGTTAGCAGGCTTGTTAACTAAAATCTCATAACCTATTCAGACTTATGCAATAAATACCCTCTGAATGCCACTGATAAACCTTTGAGTATCACTGACATGAACTTTGCTTTCATAAGACGAAAAGCAATACTACAGACCTTGCTTGCACTTAATTCTAATTTGACTATAAAGAGTGAAGCAGTCTCATTTGTTGGCTATTTCGTTTATTCAGGAAGTTACATAAAGCCTTCCTCTCTATCATGTGAGCTTTTACGAAGTATGGGAAACTGAATTTATTTGCTTCTACGCAAAATTTCAACTTTGTTTATCAGTTAGCTAATGAGAAAACCAGGGGAATTCTATTTTTATAATAATTAGATTACTACAACCGTCACATAAAACAACTTACAACCCTGCTCACTACAAAGAAACAGGCAGCAGAAGGAAACGTCTCGGCTCCTTACCCGCAGTTTTATCTCAAATGCCGAATAATAACTCAAATATCCTCCGAGTCAATTGATTTAAAAATGGTATCCCATTTATTAAATTATGACTGAGATAAAAAAAGAAAGCAATAAACCGGAATAAGAACACTTTTTGATTATTAAAAACACCACTGTTTCATAAAACACCGAAACTTACCAATCATCTTTGGATCATAACTGCGAACAATCTCCAGCCAGGACTTCCTCACTTTTTTCGCCTCCATAACAAAATCCTTATCACTAGAACTAGCGGTTTTATGCTCATTAGGTTCTGAAGAAGCATAAACCATTTTGATAGATTGTGCACAAATCTCTCCTAATACCATCAAACCACCTCCAATAAGGATATTTTTGACATATGGATTGTAGACATGTGCCCTATAGACAAGTGGTGCCCGTGCTACCTTTGCCTTTTCAAAGGGCTTATTAGAAGTCATCGGTTCAAATTAACCCATGAATGAAAATTTCAATGTAAATACAATTCACAAGTGAGTTCAAAAATAAAAATTCCCGTTTGAAGATAGGTGCATCGAGAAAAGAGAACTTCCTTGAGTAAACTCTTGTAATGTAATACATATTTGCTTACTTCAATATTATTTTAGATGTTTCCAAAGAGGAACACCCGAAAATTAAATGGTACTTTCGAGTTGAAACTTTTATCAGACCTGAACTAATGTTCAGATGAAAATATGATTCTTAATTTTAAAAGCAGCAGAGGCAAAATCGTAATTCCGATCCTGAGCAACAAATGACCTGTCTAGGTGAAATCCAAAGAAACTAAATAGCAGACTTGAGTCTTGCTCCGCGATAAGGTAGCATACGAACAACTGTGGCGCTTATTATGACCGCTGAATAATAATTTAAACACTACGTAGCGAGGTCCTAGCAACAATTGAAATGCCCTAGCATTCAATATCCAATACATTAATCACAAGCTTTCAAAACCCCAAGTTTCTATGACGTTCACTTGTTTCCAAACGGTCACAGATCTGAGGTTCAGTTAAGTGCAATCCAATAACCAATATCGTTTATACGAGCTACTGTTAACCAGTTTGATTTCTTTATGCCCTTTTCTTGATAATGAGATCAAGGGTCCCGGTCTTCGGTAAACTTCTGTGTAGCTCCTTCCACCACTTGACTGTCGTAACTCTGGTTGATTCCAAAGAGATTGGTGCTGGGATTAATGATATGTTGTTTATAGTATGCGGTGTGCAAAGACGGTATTACTACTATGAATGGAGTTGGTCCCTTAACCAGTTAGTCCTCCAGTATCGCCGACAAAAGAAAAGAGATAATAACCACAGATATAGTTAGTGTAGGCTATTCAAACTACAAGATAGAAAAAGAAATAAAGAAAAAGTAATAGCAGACAACTAATTAATTTTGAAGTTGATATATATATGTATATATAATATGAGTAATAATAATAGTGTGTAAGTGTAGTGGTTTGGGTAGCCAGGGGATTAAGACAGGAGAGAATGTAAAAAAGTCAAATGATGAATTTAGTTGTCTACCCTTTAATAGTGAACTGTATTTGAAGGCGATAGGCCATATGGACGCGATCATTGTGTCGCTGCATGCTTGTCCAGCCTTCGTTTAAAGCTGCTCACAGAGAGTACCATAGCTACTGGTAAGGAGTTCCAGGTATGGCAAATCCGCAGTGAAAAGAAATGAGAGAGCACCCGGGGCCTTGCCCTCTGGCGAGCTGTTCTTCGTCGACTCCCACAACAAAGTCGGTGGCACAGTGGTTAGGACTCTCGCCATGCACATGGTCCGGGGTTCGATTTCCTGCCAACTCACACCCGATATCTAAGGTCGGCCTGCAAAATTTGGGCCACCGATATCCATGCTGAAAATTCCATGCTTTTACTGAAAATACGGTGTGGCGTCAAGCTGTAATCAAAAACAAATAAAAAATAAAATCCATAACTACTTAATTGCAGAACACCCTTGTTTGGGTGATTCTAGTCATTTGTTATCTTGTAGGCAGGACAAGCTTTCGTTGCACAGGGCGTAATTTGCATTCTTCAGTCCACAGGTGCGTAATCTCACCATTTTGCGCTATTCCAAGTTAAAAGTCACACCACTGGCCACACACCACCCAGTCATCCAGAAACCTTAGGTCTATCCCCAGCCTATATGAGTCTTCAGAGCACTTTATTACTCTCTAAATCTTTACTTCGTCAGCGTAAATATGAGTTGGAGAGCTTAGACCGCATGGTAGGTCATTGACCAAAACCAAAAACATCAGTGGTCCTAGGATTGTACCCTGCGACACTCCTGCTGACGAGCCGTGACAGCATGACCGGACTCTAATGACCTTAGTGCGACCTGGGAGCCGTACTTTACATCCAGCTCGGCTATAGAGACAAACTACTTACTTCATTAGAACCTAGGATTTGCACATAACTTCATCTCTCCAGTAAGACCTGTGAAAACGAGGGCTAAATAGCCCAACTTCATTCTCGTGAAGGTTCTAAACTGCCTGTGTAAGCATGCTGGTCAGTTCTACAGATGTAGCGACTTTTCATCACTCATTACACTCAGGCAAACCTATGATTCATACAAATCTAATCAATTATCTGAGTTAATCAAACTAGAGCGCATCCCCCACTCACGACCTGATAATACAAAGGCCCTAGATCAACTAATTAAATCACGGATAAGCAACCACAGAATAAGTATTCCTGACTTATAACTAGATGGAGAAAAACTACACGGAGACCCACTGGAGATATACTAGTTATTCAGCTTCCACTTTACTAACGAAGAAACAGTAGGCAGTCGTGATGTTCCGACACCACCAAATCAATTTTTGGGTAATATAACATTCATCCCACAAAAAATTTCATCCGCTCTAGCATCCCTCCGGTCATCATATAAAGCCGGACCTTGGGGAATTCCATCTATCCTGCTGAAAAGTGGTGGTGAGGACATATCCATTATCCTCCTAAAGTTTTTTAATCTGTCCTTAAGTAATAGCAGCTACCCAGAGCATCAGAAACTGCCGCTTGTAACCCCTAGGCACAAACCGGGACCAACTTCTAACATCTAAAACTACAGACCCATCAATATCACGTCAGTAGTTTCCAGGGTTATGGAAAAAGTCATAGGACAAGATATTGCTTCATACTTTCACAAAGTGTTTACCCCAGTACAACACGGCTTCTTGAAAAGTCGATCATGCCCCACCTGCCTACTTGACTACTTTGATGTTACTGCCAAGCGCGATCATCATTTGTCTGTCACAACTCCCTCCTTTGACTTCGAAAAGGGCTTTGATAAAGTCCCACACATGAGACTAATTCTGAGGTTAAAGTAGCATGGGTTCCAGGACCCCCTGTTACCCTGGCTCAATTTTTCCTTGGAAGACCGTTCCGAAGCTGTGAAATTCACAAATAATTACTCGCCATCCAAACCCATACAAAGTGGAGTGGAGAGTGCACCAGGGCCAATGCTTTTCGTAATTTACATTAACCACATCTCCAGTGTAATCTACCATGGTACCCATACCTGTTAGGATTCATGTCGAAAATATTCGGCGTAGTATTACACGGCTGCATCGAAAGCAGTAATCCAATAGCCCTCAACAATAAACCATATATACCCTTAGAAATCATGAAAATACTCAATCGATAACCCGACACCGGAAAAAACTGCGTTCACGTTTCTTCAAATACAGTAAAGTGCACTATGGAACGAACGTCCATTCACTGTACGTACTGCGGAAATCCTACTGAGTTCCAACGTCTCCTTAGTGAGTTCCTGTCACGAAGAGTGCTTCGGTCTACTTGTCTATGCCTTACCCATACAGACTGTTCAGCTAACTCTAATACTACAGACCCCAGTGCAATACTCCCAATTTGAGGAAATTCATTTGCCCCAGCCACCGTACGTTATCTAAAATGTGACAAAACTCACCCAATTTTTCCCTCAGTTCTTGGGGTCTTATCAATATTTCATCAAACAGGTTCGCAGAGTCATGAGACCAGCTATAATTATCCTGGACGTATTACCCCAAATTAGTTGTAATAGTTTTTCCATAATATAAGCAAACTGGTACTTTGTAATGTCTAAAGCATCCCATATGAAAATTGGTCCTGAAAACTTAGCAATAATATCTCCGGCCAAACTATTACTTCCCTCAAGTTCATTCTGTCTGCCTTTCTCCCTAATCGCACCACAATTCATTTCACTCTACTCTGTAGACTATGACATGATTTGCTCTAGTACTCAAAACTCCTATACTGCTAGTTTTTCAAACCTTTTAACTACTACTTGTGCAGCGAATGTTCAGCGAATTTACTGATTTTCTCTTCTCTATAAACTTCAGCAAGTTGGGTTAGTGCAAATTATTTCAGAAGTAATTATACTAGCATCAAAACATTTTGATATTTTACATGTATATACAATTAGTGTACTACATTGCATTATTTTTTGTTTTGAAATGACTGCATTCAGTCAATAGCCACCCATTTTCATATACTCTTCTGCAATTTATTTTAGTATTTTTTCCAAAATGTGAGTTGATGAGATACTTTGCGTGCCATATAGAGATCGGTTATGAATATTTGGCATAACAAGTTCTGTTAACCAGTTGTATTCCTCAGGATCATTCTAAATAACTTTGTCACTAATTGTTCCACTACTCACTTCACTTTGCTAAATAGACTATGACATAGTTGTCGTAATACTAGCTATTTCCATGCTTCATAATTCTTAAGGGAAACTTAATTTCCTAGTCATTTTAATAACTACTTCTACACATGAATTCATGTATAAATATAATACTGCTAAGAATGTCTTCAGGTATCGATGTAGCTGGTGACCTAATGGGAGATGTTAATGTGCAGCATACTGTATGATTGGGACGGATTTAAAGCAATGTAACACTGCAACTGCAGTCATTGCATGAGGTTTCAGAGTTTAATATAAAAAGGAGGGGGTGGCGCATGTTGATCGGGAGATATGGAGGTAGTCGTATTTGTGAATCGTTCCGATTTGTAGGACGGCAACATGCACTTTTGACAGCTTGAGAATTGAACGTGACAACATATACTTAACATAAAGTGCGATGATTATATAGATCGAAATTTTTTAAATACTTTCGCTCATAACATGTACAAGCCTGCTCAGCTTCCTATTAAGATACTGCCTCATTTGCCCTACACAAATTTGCCAGATATCTTGCAGGTCAATATGTCCTGCTGGTTCTAATTTTTCAGATCTTTTAGGTCACTCCCAACTGAAATGTCACTTATATACTTCATGATAATGTTTTATCTGATTATTATTAGATTATATCTTAACTACCAAGGCCTTAAATTAGGCTAAAGACTTACTCTTTCATTCGTATTCGTCGCTCGCTTAAAGTCGGGTTGCTTTGGTGAAAAAACACAGCAACAACACCAATGTTTGAGAAAAGCTGTATTTTCACCGAAAACTTCATAGCTTCCACGATAAGACCGATATGACTAGCATTAAACATTGCAAATTTGTACTATCTTTCCATGGAATCTGTAGCTCCTTCTCGCATATATATTGTAAATTTATTTTCAATGATGAATTATCCATAATTGCGTTTTGTATCATTTTGCAGCTGCCCAGGACATTCTCCTCTTCCCGAAATAGCCTTAAATCACGCTGGAGCAAAGCACTTACACAGATATAGGCTGTTCACTGGCTGGCCATAACTATCGGCAAGAAAAGGAACAATGTTTGAGTTGGCGCTCAAACTTAATGGTGACCTTATTGAAGGGTTTACAACTTAACATTACTTGTACAATAATCTGAAATTCAAGCTTTTGAAAAAGTATTAATTTGTGATATTTCACGACTGTAATTTATAAAATAACTGATCGTGCTTATAAAGATAACATGCATTTCATATAAACTTACCCGTTCATACGAAACAAGAATTATCATAAGCAAACTTTTATTTTATTAATTATTGTTAGGTTGCATCAGGCGACTATAAAACATCCTAGATGTACACAGC